TATTAACCCGAAAAAAAATATATTGGTATATCAACATATGTATTTGTTAAAAGAAATGTAAAAGGTATAAGAGCTAGTTGATATGCAGTGCAGGTAAGCGTCTGCGTATACTTTCAGTTTTCTTTTCCCCTGTACACGTTTCCAATAGAGTGCCTTCATCGCACAGCAATGAAGGGGATAAAAGTATATGGTGTCTACTAGAACTAACAAATATTGAAGTCAACATCCTCAATGAATCCAACAGAAATTGAAGGTCTCTCAAATGCATCAGTAACATCAGGCAACAATAAATAACTTTACAATCTCCAAAGGCACACTGCACCAACAAAATGTAAACCAAAGCCAATTGGTAAGAAAGAATGCCGGCCAACATATAAAGATAAATCTAGTTGAGCTCAACAAGCAGCTTCTTCCGAACCAGATCTCCTTTCAATGTATTTCAATGTCTTGAGGGAATGTTCTTCCTCTCAAAAAGCTTGTCTTCAACCACTGTGCATTGGCCCTGCATCTACAGACTCCAGTCTCTCACCAAGTTCTAGTGATACCCATGTAAGACCAAACGTCTAACTTATCTCACAGAAACATGTATGATTAATCCGTCTCAGAAGATTATATGCAAACCTACCATGACACAGTAGTTTAGTTCTGGTTCTTGTGGCAAAGCTAAAGGTACGAAATACATGCTAACCCAATTTGGTGCAGTGTGCATCTGTACCAAGCTGTGTGCAATGATTGTAACCCACACCACGTAGGAACTTTCGTATCTCTTTTGCGCTGCTATTACTGGCTTGCAAGAGCCGTTCATCTTCCTCATAAATGATATAGGGTGCTTCGCTTGCCTTCCTTGATAGTAACCTGGACGCTCCTTTCAGCACATGATATTCCCAGCCTTGAACATCAATCTTGAGCAGAAGAACAGGCTCTGAATCTGGGATTACATCATCAAGAGGGATGGTTCTTACTTGAACTGCCACCTCTTCCTTATTCTTGAAGGCCAACTTTGCACCAGCGGCTGAAATAGCACTATTGTCCATCCGACCGACCAACTGGTCACATAAGCAAGATTCACATTAGAAACGCAGCAGACAGGAGATTATCACAGCATTACAAATTAACATTTTGTAGAGCTTATTAATAGTTATCTGTTGTTATAAAAATGATGAACGAATCAGACAAGAAAGGGAAAAAACATGATCCATTGCTTCCCTATATAAATCAAACAACACGCCATAAATAGAATTGGTTGTGCTAATTGGAATGCCGTCTAATATTTCAGCCTCTCTCAAGTATTTAATCGTAAGCATCATGTATTGCATGTTTCATATTCTCAGTGAAACAAGGGCTAAAAAAGGGCAGCAGACCTAAAGGCAATGCATGATTTTCAATCAATCAAAAGCACAACCTAGGTTCCCATGGATTCAGTATGACCACCAATTCAACCCATCATGTAACTATAGCGCATAATTAAATTTTCATATCCATATGCCTAGGAGAAACAAAGTTGGAATCACCCTAATTACTTTCCTATGTATTCTCAAATTGCAAATGTCATATTATTTACTCATCTTCAACAATTCGAAATTCATTTAAGGTTTCAACTTCCACAATGTTGGAAGAAAAGAAACAAAAAAGGATATTCATTTCATAAACCCAGTCATAGGTACCGGCTTATGTAATCACAAAAATAGTGAAACAACCAACAACAGCATAACAGCTTCAAAATAAAGCTCAAAATGAAAAAGAAAGAAAACAGAAGCAGAAAGGCAAAACAAGAAAGACTAAAATTGAACCCAAAGAAAAGAAAAAAGACGGTACCTTGTGGAAGGTGATATTGCCAGGGCGATCGGAGGCTGCGGCCTCGAACACAGTGACCAAATCTCCAACACGATTCAAGTAAATGCCATCACAAATCCTCTGCAAATTTTCGAAAACGGGCTCGAAAGCTAGCACCTGAAAGCCCATAACCGCGGCAGCGAAGCTGGCCATGCCCACATTGGCACCCACGTCCACCACAAGCCCATTGTCCCTCCCTTCACCTTTGAATTTCTCCAAAACCCCCTGAATCGTCGCCGATATATCGGGTCTCCGGAAAGGCTTGCCCTTGAGAAATCTGACGATGTCCTTGTGCGGCTTCTCGGGCAACCTACCCAAATCGGCGAGCGAGTAGATGAAAGGGTAGCTAAGGCCTTCGACTACGTTAGCGATTACAGGGTGGGACTGCGGGCACTCTTCGCAATTGAAAGGTGGGATTGGGTAAATCCGGAGATCGGTTCTGATGGTGGGGTGAAGGCCTGGAGGGGAGGGGTTTGACGAAGGGCGAGAGGCGAGGAAGAAGAAGATGAAGATGAGGACGAGAGTGGCAGCGAAGAGAAGCAATAGGGGTCTCATGGGTTTCTCTTTCTTCCAGGCATTAGCCATTGAAAATTGGAAAATTGGAAAACTAGTGGGAAGAGTTTGGGTTTGTTTTCCGGGAGAATAGGTGACTTTCTCGGAAAATGAGTGATTTTCCGGGAAAGTTAAGATTGGATCTGATACAGATACTTGCAGTTGCTTGTTGCTCTGGAAGATTTTCTGGGAGAGTGTTCAAATTTCAGCTCTCAGTAGTCCACAGAGAGTGAAGATTGAGAGACTTCTATCGTACGAGGGTGCTCTTTCAGGGCTCTCTTCCTGAGCCGTTTGATCAGATGTGCGGCTAAGATTTTAACTCACAGACCCACCGGTGATAAAAAAAACAATCGGGCACCAGTAAAAACAGAGCAAAGATAGAACAAAAGTTGGATTAACAAAACAAAGATGGCGGCCGATTTGGGATAAATGAGTAAGAACTGAAGATTTGTAATCTGGATGGGATTGAAGGAAAGGAAATTCTTACTTTTGTATCAATTTTGATAACTGTCTCTAAAACAGTTCGTGGCAGCTGAACCAAAATGTTCTAAACTCTGCCATGTTGTTTCTCCCAAAATCCTATTTTGGGCTATAAAATAGTTTTGGGCAACTCAGACGAAGGTGTTCTAAACTTGTGTGATGCTCAGTCAATGTTTGCTCACTTCTGTGGATCATTGTCCAAAAACACTCAAATATATTCTGAATTGGATTGATTTATTAAGCCAGCCCAGAATAAAAAGGCCGAGACAGACAAACAAGGGCTAGCCTACACATAGCTTCAAAAGGGCCCAACAAAAAACAGCCCAAGGTTGAGACCTAACAAAATGATCACCACGAAATGGGATTTAAGATTTCTTCTTTCAAACGACTTTAGTTAAATTAAAAGTTTAAGTTGCTCTCCCATCATCAATCATAGCTCATTTAGTATGAGATAGGTGGAGTAATAGAAATTTAAAGTACAAAATCTTCATAAAATGGAAATGAAATAAGAAAATCCTCTTATTAATCACAAGCATTACTGCCTTTTGGTAAAATAAAATACCATTTTTGACGACGTTTGTTGTTGGGTGGAGATGACATGCCTTTCCCTCTCTTTTGGTTGATTTGATACACCTGCAGTTGTCAAAACAGAAATGCTTGCCAGCAGCAGATGATCATACCATGTTATTGAAGAAGCAAGACTTGCCAAATCAAATTAAGCTGCTTTTGCTTGATGTTTGAATGAAATAAAATGAAATCCATTTCATGAAAAACAAAGGAAAACAAAAACTAACCAAATGCTCATCCATTTTCTTGCTAACCATTCAACCTCCTCAACAACATCAGTAATGTTGGAGCTTCTAACAGACACCAACCTTAAAATTGCTTCTTTGGTCATAAAAGAAAGCAGCACAAAAGCTACTCTATTCAACAAGGATTGCTAACCATTCAACCGAAATGTTCGGTTGAATGGTTATGATAAAACTTGGACTTCCTGCCCTCTTCAGCTCATATATTAAAAACGAAGATAAAATAGATGAGACTAAATTCGTTTCTAGATGCTTATATAAACGTTTTTCATAACTTAACTTAATGCGTGTGTTATAACTAGCAGTTTTGAATCTTGATACAGAAACATAAATTTTATAACACTACTGTACTTGGTTGTGCAGCATATATGCAGAATTAGAAGCTTTTTTGCATCAATGTGATCAGGTTACTTGCTCGTCTCCCATATATATATATATGAAAGAATTTTTTTTATTTAAAAAAAGGGACTTCAAGATGTAACTCTGATTTCCTCCAAACTCATACTACTTATCTCCACGCAAGAGTGAGTTCAATGCTATTCTCGTCCTCATTTAGACGAAAGAATGCATCGAATCGAAGGGTTGACAAAAACATATGGCCATGGAGCATATATGCTCATAGAATTAAATTCATTTGAAACCCTAGCTAACATCCCTTTACTGTCAAGCAGCTACTGGGAAAATGAAGCGGTATGGGATTTTATCTGAGTTAAAGTTCAGTTGAATGGTATTAAGTTACTTGACGTTTTTATCTTCCTATCATTTATAACTGCCCAAAAGAGTTCTTAGACTGCTCTATTTGCTGATAAATAATCAATAAATCTAAAAGTCATAATTTGCCATTTGGGTTTTTGTTTTTGTTTTTTTGGTTTCTCCATGTTCTTGCAGATACCATAAAGTTTGCGGCTTCCTTTTGGTGGTATCTTAATTCCACGAATGCCATGGTAAGAAGCTAAGTGTTAGCCTCTACAGCATTTATTTATGACTCAGTATAGATGTTTTAATTATAATTAATTTGTTGTCATTTTCACGACGTTTTTTGTGTGATTTTGGGTCTTTCAGATCTCAGGTTTAATGAGTTTCATCACTTACATTTGTTTTACATGGTCAAATCTATGTGTTAATAAAAGTTATTGCTATAGATTAGGATTTTTTTGGAAAGTTATTGCTAAGAAATGAAGATTTTTAAGCATATATTATAAATTGGTTTTCATATGTAAAAACAAAAGCCCATTATTAACAATGGGAGGGAGACAAGACAATATAACCCAAAAGAAAAAAGAAAGTAAATATATATTTTGAAAACCTTTCTGCTTTCGTATGAATCGATGCAGGGTGGTCATTATTTTTTGCTACTTTTTGTTGGGCCATTAGTTTCTGTCAGTATTGCTTGTTCAACTGAACATGCAAATCAAACGACTTTTGATGTCAGTGACTATGGAGCTGTCAGTGGAGGCCACATAGATGATTCCGAAGTAGGCAAACTCTGTTTTCCTTTCAACTTACGGTTGATTTTCTTTCTCAGTGATGATATGAGTTTTCATCCACTAATTAATGTCATATCATTGAGATTACAGGCATTCTTGAAGGCCTGGAATGCAGCATGCGCCTCAGAAACTGAAAATCCTACCTTAATCGTTCCACCGAAGAGATTTCTGCTCAATCCAATCGTTTTCAGCGGTCCATGCAGGGCTAAAAACATCAATTTTTTGGTGGGTCAAAGATCTTTCTGATATAGTTCAGATTTTTGTTATGTATATGTAGATTTTTGTTTTCTGGGTTGGTGCAATAATTTATCAAGACAAATGATTGATATTTCATTGGTATTGCCCAAATGATTTGTGATTTTCCATAAATAGATATTTGGGAGACTTTTGGCACCAGACTCCCCTGGAGCATGGAAGGAGCTTGACCCAAGTCAATGGCTAGCTTTCAATGGTGTAAGCGGTCTCAATATTGCTGGCCCTGGTAGAATCAATGGAAGGGGCAAGGCCTGGTGGGATCAGTCATGCAGAGACCACCCTCGCCTGGTTCGTACATTTCCAAATTTTACATCTAAAATAAAATAAAATTCACCTATTAATATTAATATTATTGTGTAAATTAATCTGCTCTGCCTTCTCTCTTTCTGATATAGTTTGTTGTTGCCAAATGCCAACCTTTCAGGTGGGATGCAGTACATTGGCCCCAACTGTAAGTAATAACAATATTCTCATGGCCTAAATAAATATCATATCATCTTGAGATTGAAGCAACATTTGACCTTAGTTTCAGGGGCACTAGAACAATTAAGCCTTATTTATCTGATGGTGAAGCGCAGGCAGTGAAGTTGGTGTCGTGTAAAAACAGCAGCATCAGTGAGATTCATTTCGTAAACAGCTCTCAAACCCATGTCCTAATCAGAGATTGTGATGGGATCAACATAGAAAACGTACTGATTGAAGCTCCAGAGAGGAGCCCCAACACTGATGGCATTCACATCTCAGCCTCTCACAATGTGGTTATCACCAACGCCATTATAGGCACCGGTAATTAACAATTTCTCAGTCTTTTTTCTCAACATTCCAACTTTTCCTATATATATTTTTATTTTGTCTATCAGCAATGACTTATTTTGCTCCACAGGTGATGATTGTGTGTCCATTGGAGACCATACATCCAACATAGCCATCTCCTATGTTAAATGCGGTCCGGGTCATGGAATTAGGTAATATGTTGTTAATTACATTGTCTTTACAAGATAAAACAACATTATTAACCACTAAATTAGATGCCCTTCCTTTCAACTGTGTTTGAATATAACAGCATTGGAAGCTTAGGGAGGAGTGGGAATTTTGTTCAGGTAGAGAACATTCATGTAAGTAAGGTATATCTCCAAGGAACTACCAACGGAGCTCGGATCAAGACATGGCAGGTACTAAATCAAAGTGGTATAATTGCTCACATTTTAAGTTTTACTGTCTTATGACATTTTCTTCCTAAATTCACATGTTCATAAAGGTCGGCAGAGGCTATGTCCGGCGGGTCACATTCGAGCACATCTTTTTTCGGTCCGTCAAGAACCCCATAATTATCGATCAAAACTACTGCAACAAAAGTGATGCCTGCAAGGAAATGGTAAACCAGTCACACCCTTCTTTTTCCTGACTTCTAACTTGGTTTTAAATCTTGTTCATTTGTGCTACTTTTTGGTTGTAGGAAACTGGGGTTCACATAACTGATGTCTCCTTCAATCAATTGTATGGGACATCTAGTTCCCGTGTAGCTGTGAATCTGAATTGCAGTCGCTCAGTTGCTTGCACCAGTATATATTTGAAGTCAATATACCTTAGATCTGCTCTAGCAGGGCAGAACGTGACTTCTAACTGCACCAATGCCCATGGCGTTGCCTTCGGAGTAATTCAACCAGACCCCTGCCTGTAAGTTTGAACTCATGATGATTTACCATGTTGTGTAAGAATTTGATTCATTTAACTAATTGATTCACTTATCGAACCGATGGATTATGGTGTACAAAATAAAGACTAGAAGAATGCTAACATATTACTCTCGCCCTCTAACTTAAATAAAATTAACTTTTCTAATCTTCAATTGATGTAACAATTTTTTTTTCCTTAATGGATGTTTTGATATTGAATTTTACATCAAAACTTCAGCAACAGTTGATGTTTCGCACAAATTCCAGCTTGAAAACAGAGTAAAGCTGTGTTTGACTGACAAAAAAAAGTTGTATTACTTTGCACACTTGTAACAAAGTCGTCATTTTACAGATTGCATCATGATGGCATACCCTTAATGACAATCAATCCTAATATAATACAACACTAGAACATCAGAACGCATAACTCAATACATTATGTGAAATTTATCGAGTCAAACTATTATAGCCAATTAGGGCATCCTCACGAACCCAACCTTTGGATCGTCATTTCCTTGAGTGAAGTCACTAATCTGCGAAACACCTTAAGATTGTGGCCTACTTTATCCTGAGAAGAGAAGAAAGAAAAATTAAAGAAAAATTAAAGAAAATTTCACACTTAGTAACTGAGAATGACCGGGCCACATAGTAAGAAGCAGACCTTGCTTAGTAACTCGAGTCGTTCTAAAGTTGGAATCAGATTTCCACACAACGAAGATATGTCCTGACCCGGGTCAGATTTGGCACCATAAGCAATTGCCTTCAAAGATCCATTGGCATCGGATACCAAAGATCTGTCAAGAAAAAACAACATTGACCAAAAAAAGAACATTAAGCCTCAACATGCTTCCAGAACCAACACCCTTCTCCGAGGAAATGAAAGACAAAGAAAAGAAAGAAAGAAATGAAGAGGTGCATACCTGTCCTGAAAATGGATTAGGAAAACATTCAGCACATGTTCCACGAGTGGAAGTAACAAAGTTACTAACTGATCTCGGATACCAACAACCTGGCACATTTCGACCATTGCAATGTATCTCCTGGAAAAAAATAAAGCGAGAATCCAATAGAAAATTATATGCTTCATGTACCCAGGACAAAAGAAAAAAGAAAAATGTGTTAATCAAACAAACTAATTCTGATGAAGTTGAACTACTTGGGCAAATCAATTGAACAAAGACAACAATTTTACTTCTTAATGGGGAATATGTAATTGCAGCTGCTTTTGAGCAAAGGACAATAGCAGACATGATAAACCGATTAATTAATAACTGTCACTTTTTCCAAGTAAATTGAAAAACAAATCCATCACTTTAACTCGTGTTCTCTTGCTTGTCACTATCATCAGTATATATTTCAACATACATTCAAATATATGTTGATACCCATAACTTGTATTTTCTGCTCACTAGTGCCTGACAATCTCAAGGATATGCTGATATCTATAACTTGCATTGGGCAGATATACAATTTCTCATTAGGTTATAACGTATAATTAAAGGAGTTTTATCAAAACTCACTTAACACAACAAATTGACAGACATTATTGAAATGATTAAACATTTCAGTGAAAAATTTGGAGGAAAAAGAAAAAGAAAAGACAACTCAAGGACTACCTTTTCTGAATATTGTCAGATGATGACATACAAACTTGCTGAGCAAACATATTGATAATTTCATCCACCTCCTGTCTTGATACTTCATTTATGTCTCGAATCTGCAGATTATATACAAAAAGGTCATAGTAATTTAATGTTCAAATTTTTGTGTGAAGTGATAAAGCAGGAAATGTTGTTTGAATCCAATTTTACCTTATTTAGTAGTAAGGATTTTTCCTCGGTGGCTCTTTCAAGAGCAGTTGTGGCAGAAGTGAGAAAAGAACCAAGCAAACTCAATGTGGGATGTTGAAGACGAACAGCAGCATTGTAATCAGGGGGAACGTCTGAGATCTGTAGTAAAGCAAGTTCGTTAGTGAAGTATTAACAGATCTATCAAGCCAATACAACTTGAGCAGGTCAATCATTAATAACATGCAGATCAGCCCAATGATTATCTACCTACCTGCAGTCTAAGTGATTTCTTTGTGACCAGAAAATATAGATAAAAGCTCAGGCTGAAGCATAATCGAAACGAATTAAGCTCTGACTTCCTCTTATTCTGCTCTTTCGCCATCAAACAAGGGGAAACAGAAAACAGCAATATCAAAAACTAAACTACAAGGACTGCACAGTCAATAGGTCAATTTACGTTGCCTTAATAGAACATGTGCAAACCTCAACGGATTGAACTGATCGAGCAGAACTGACAGACTCCCAGTCACGAGAGAAAAGAGCATGCATCAAACCAAAAAGCCCTTGAACAAAGCCACATTCATCACTCTCTTCATAAGGCCAAACCTACAAAGGAGGAAATGTTTAAGTGCATTGTGTTATTAAACTCAAGCCAACTAAGCCTTTACCAACCAAATGGAATGAAAAAAGTAGACAGGAAACTCTTGCAGAAAAATAAACAGCATTGCAGTTTATAGAACAATACATGTGGAAACTGGGAAAATGGATTTTAGGGATCCAGTTAAATGCCCCAAAAAAACGCATATGATCATATCCTACTCAACCAAGTTACAGGCCTAAACTGTTCAAAAACCTTTTTTGGAGGCACATTAACGAAGCTAGCTTTAAGCAGGAGAAGTTGACCACAGCTTCTTTAACACAATTCATGCAATCCAAAATAGATTATAAAGAACAGTTACCTTGCTAAGTATACCAACAACCAGATTTATCTGCTCCATCACCAATTCATCAGCTTCGGAAATGTCTTCCCGAAGAACATGATCAAAAAGTGATCTATGCCCTTTGACAAAATCTATGACTTCTCGAACAATTTTATTCTTCACCTATTATATGAATCCAAATTATAACGGAAACGGCATTTTCTGAAATACAAAAGGACATTGAATATAGAAAACCAAGACTGACAGAAACCTTAGGCAAATATTTAGAAACAGAAAAGAAAAAAAAAACAAGTCAGTGATTTTTACAAGACGTGGCCTTTACAAGTTAGTGGTTTTTACTGAATTTGCATAATGAAATTACAAAATTGTATAAGCTTCCCACCAATTTAATCATAATAAAATCCTAAGTGTGATATTCATGTAGGATTCTGTACTTCAGCAATTGGATAATTTACGCTTCATACAAGTATGCAAGCTATTTAAGTAAAGTTTCTAGCAATAACATATAGCTGATACAACACACTCTTTGACAAGTAGTTGACAGGACCTGCAACTTAAAATACGGCATTAGAAATAGTTATTATTTGTTTCAAGTCTACTCAAGAAATAAAAACAATTTCGCTACTAGGTTGTTATTTCTTCAATTCCAACATCCCAATTGCAAGGTATATTGAATGGATTTCAGCAGGTAAAATTGTGTCTAGTAGATGAAGCATGCCATGATAAAACCAACATTCTAGGACAACAGAACCAGAAATTTCAAAAGCTTTCTGAAAAGAAAATCAAGGAAGGCTAACCTCAAAAAATTCAGAAGTATCGACCAACGACAACAGAGAAAACACTAATCTAAGAATAGGAGTTATAACCATCCTTTGCTTCTTGATATCCACTGGAACATCTCTTTGATGCTTAGTGCCAACCCATCTCAAGCTTCCCTGCATTTGCATGAAATTCAGCAATGAGATAAAAGAAATTTTCTGAATAAGCACAGAAAGCAGTTTGTGTTTCTTTTAAATAAAGAAAACACATAAGCAGCACTTACGAGAAAGTTTACTGCCCTGCATGAAGCGATATGCTCCAAAGCACCCATCGAAAAGATAACCTGAGCTCCAGATTTCCCATATTTGTGACTTATTCTTAGTAGTAAAGCAAGTTCAGCCTCGAGAGTGTATGCTCGCTGTCCACCATCCTAGAACAATTTTTTAGCAAAATTATGTGAGATGTGAAGTTAAAAAGTAAAAGAGGCAATGTGAAAGAGCACCTGAAAAAAAAAAATATCAGCAGAAGATAGTATGACAAACTAAGAAATCGATATCATAGAAGAGAGTACAATAGCTTCACCAAACTTCAAATCAAATCAAACTCATATATACACTAAAAATTGGGTTGTGAAAGAATTTGCAAAAGGTCGGTTAGGGAGGGCACATATGTTACTACCTCAAAGGATTTTACACAGTGAAAAATGGCAAAGTTTTTTTAAGTGAGTTTTTTTTTTGTTTTTTTTTTGTTTTTTGTTTTGTTTTATAAATTGTCAATATGGGTCAGATTTGTACTAGTGCTGCTGGTGTAAAATTCTCTAAAACAGAACTGCCTAAAAATTTGTTTAAAATTTTAAAATAAGGTCAGACCAGTAAAGTCCTATAATAAGTTTATGAAAAGCCTGTTCCCGGCGTTACAAAATTAACAAAGCACTATATGCAATGATAGCAGTTAAATACAAAGCAAAAGTTCCTATACAGTAGAACTGCTGTAGTGCTGACCACCAGTTCCCAACCCAAACTCAGGTATATTCTCTGGTAAACAACTTATCAGGAATTATTGGATAATTTGGATTTCAGGTAACAAGGAAAAGCATTTTACCAACGTCGAAAAGGTGAGATCTTACAGTTGGCTAAACTTAAACGTGTCAAATAAAGGTTAAATGTTAATAATGCCTAGTATCATACAATCAAAACCACCCTGCTATTGGACTTGATAATTTATTAAACAAGCACCTGATGAGAGAAATTGCTGATGCTCATTAAGCAAGATCTTAAGAAACCCCTGCTTTGAAGTTGGCTTAAGAAATATCTTTCATGATCTACACAAATCAATGCATCCAAAACATAGAGTGCCATTTGCTTCCCAAGTTCACTGCCTTGAGTAGCATCCCTTATTACCTAAAGATTCATAGTTGAAACAAAATATGTCAAAGATTAAAAAATAAAGGGAAAATAGTATTTGCATTGTAATAATTCACTTGATAATAATGATTAAAGATATTGGAAGCAGTAACAATTTTATATTGTGTATGCATGACAGTGTGATGCGTATGCACTCAAAACTACATAATCCTAATACTGCAGAACCTTCCTAGCAGCAAAAACATGTCCCACAGAAGAACTCTTCCATGTAAATTATAATTCAGATCCAACTCCTTCCATATTAGCAAAATACTTGGTCTTGAGTAAACTAAAATATCGAGCTATATTTTCTATTAGATACCAAAAAGTTAGGGCAAGAATGCGAGACTTACCAAATCCAAAATAGGCTGAGCTACTTTCCTTAATATAGAGAAATTGGCACGAGCAAGTTCAGCCTGCTCTCGATTGATCTGAGGAAATAACATAAGTAGAATCACCATTGTTAATGCTATTCTTTCCACCGGATGATATTTAGTGCAAATTAAAAGCAATACATTGAAATGATAGAAACTACACACCTTCTGGAGTTCCATATCATCACCATCTTGTTCATCAAGCAGCAAGAACTGCAGAACGGTTGACGGGACATCTGGATCAAGCATATGTTGACAGTACTGAAAATAGCTAAGAAGCAAAGTATATAGCCTGAAAACAATTTCCTGAAGGTCAGATGCAGACTGAAAGAGTTTAAACAAGCATGGAAGCAGCAGAACCGATATCCTGACCAGGACCATACCGTCTCCTTAAGGCTTCTGATGATTCATGTCTAAGGATAGCCAACGTAAGCTTAAACAGGATTGCGTGACAAGCTCCATTGGGTAATTGTTTTGCCATGATAATATCAAGACATGCCAAACTATCAGAATTAAAACCACCAGGGAATAAAAACCTTTCATCTCTTAACTTTGCCATGCATGTCAGGGCAACCTAAGAAATTTTGTTTTTAAATTAGAGATCAGCAATAACTTTCAAATTGAAGCAACATTGTAAGACCAGAAAAATAAATCAGTGATACCTGGCACAACATAATTGCCATCTTCAATGAACAGTCTGGAGAAGCAGAAGCAGTAAGAGCAGCATCAAGAACCCTGTCAATGGCAAGACAATGTGTTACGAGAGGAATAGGAAATGAAGAAAAAGACAGATTACAATATAGACATACTGATATAGAACTTCAGATCGATTTCCAAGTGATGATATCCTTCTGGATGCAGATATCTACCAAAAAAAGAAGAAAAATGACAAATATTGGTGAATGTAATGCTGACAAATTATTATTAGTTTAAGGCTAAAACCGAATTGAAGACTTCTCAATCATGCAAACTATGAAAGAAAAGAAGAGACCTCAACAATATGTGACCAGCCAGTTAACATATGTAGTTGGGCAGCTTGCTCCTCAAGGTTCTTATTGTGCTTCCATCCCCATCTCAACAACTGTTGAATTGTTTCTTTTACATCATTCAGCTCTACGTCACTTCCAATGTTACTCAACTGGGGATAAACAGATTTGAATTTCTGACCAAGAAAAAAAAAACAATATAAATCAGCAACAGGACTATCTGTTTTCAATTCAGGGATGAAAACAATTAACATCTAGTACTTAAGGAATAAATTCACTTTCTGGAACTTAATCACGCAACCTGCCAAAGTTTGTCGCGGAATGAAGCAAGGTCTATTAATCGATCACCCCGCTCTGAGTAATAATAAACACCACCCTTTCCAGAAGTTGTAGGATAAGTAAGTATGTCATCTGCCTAAGAAACATATTTGATCAAATGCAGCGCAAGTGAAACAAAATAAGATATAACGATCAGACTGTTACCAGCAAGTATCAATTACAAAACAGAATATTACCAACAATTCATATTTTGTATTAGAAACAACCGGAGACAGATTCATTGTGGTATCTGGGGATTTAAATTGCACTACTTCAAGCAACTCCAACACCTGTAATGGACAAGAATCTAAGTTTTATCTGACAGCAAGAACAGATATTGTACAGAACTCCAGAAAGTTCTAAAACGAAAACAATATTAAAAAACCACAATATTTACTACTATGATAATGACCACCCTCAACCCTGATTGTTTATAGCATGAAGCTAAGTCAAAGATTAACTCTTCCATAACTAGAAAAATAAAAGTTATATATGACATTTAACTAAATATTAATATTACTAGATACTTATTATACTAGAGAATCCAACCTGAAACCAATTGGTAATGGTGAGAGACCCCCAGATTTTACATATTGAGAATCGTTTACGGCTTAGAATTCCTAATAAAGACTATTATATTTTCAAAAATACTTAATTGAAATTATCTCTAATATAAAGGCATGGTTGATTGAAGATAATTAGCAGACTGTCAAATACACCTAAAATCAATTAAATAAATCAATAAAAACTTGAAATGGGAATAGCTTTCAGAAAAGAATAAAACAAGAAATTACTAATGATAAAAAGATTTGTTAGCCCACAGTGGCATGAGATTAAGGTACACATGTACATTTAAGCAATCAACAATACCTTACTCTTACTAACAGTGCGGGTTCCAGCATGTTCCACGCCATCTTGAAGAGAAAAGGAATGAGATGCGAGGTAATCAATTCCAGTTTCAACATTTTCCTGCCCAAAAAGGTGCGCAAGGATGCTAAGGCATGCCTCTCGGTGAGTAGAGCTATTGACATCACCAACATGCAGTTCAATGGCTAACAGTCTCAGAAGCCAAGCTCTCTGTGAATAAGAGAGAAGTGAAAAAAGAAAGAAACAATATTTACATTATGGACTGGAAAGCAAGCATCACAAATATAAAGAACTACAAAAGTACACCACCCATGTGCCAAAATATTTGCTCATAAGGATTTATGAGTCATGGCTAAAGCTTGAAGACTGAAGAAGAGTGACCTTGAAACATAGGCTGTTGATGCAGTAGGATGCAGAATGAATGTCAACAAAACAAAATGAAAGACACCTAACGTAGAACAGCCTCATCCTTCACATACCCATGTTTGCCTCTACCAATAAAAAAACTTTTTTTCCTACAACAAATAAATAAGGCAATCTATACGAAGTAATCACTATATGTCGTCCACTAACTATCAGTTCAGCATTTTGGAAAGTTCAATAAGAGATGCAAAAGGTGTGAGATCACAACAACTAAATAATTACAGAAGAAACCTGATGAAGGGAACTGATGCGAAGCGCCTGGTTGTTATTCCGTTTAGGAAGTGGGGCAACCCCAATTGTATCTAGGTGCTGTTGTGATAAAAGCCATATGAGAAAAGAAGAATGAAAACAGCAATTAGGATAAGACAAAGAAATATCAGCACTTCAAAGTTTTATTCAAGGGCATCACATATTAAAAGATTAGTGCATCTTTACCTTTACAAAAAACTGATACTTTTTACTACTCAACAGATCCATAGTAGGACCACCTGTCAGTGGATCTAGGCACAACTCATAAAGGAGCTGCAAATAGTCAAGAAATTCTCTAAGACAAACCGTGGGAAAAATTCAAACAAACAATGAAATGTATGCTCCAAAAGAGAACAGAAAGAAGGAAGAGATATCCCAAAAGAGGTAGAGACTGTTTGATCTAACCTTAAAACCGAATTCATGAAGTAACACATTGACATCAGGCTTTGAAAGCTTCTCCAAGATTTCAAGAATAACCTTCAAGCAACTGCAAACAACATTATGGAGCACAATTCACTAGACAGAAATTGGATTACATAGACATGAAATCATTAGGGTATCTTTAAAGCAGCTAAACCTGTAATGAAACTTTGGCTGTAATACAGTCCGTTCAATGGGGCTGTCAAGATCAAACTTGAGTAGTAAATGGGTGATATTGGGAGCTGGCCGACTGATATTGTCTACTAGAAGCTGTAAAAATAGAAATGAAACTATGTCAGCGTATTCAAGAAGACAATAGCTATTGGATAGGAAGAAATCATGGAAATGACAGGGCAAACCTGCAATATCAGTACACCTGGATCCTCACTTGTGTTCTCTATGATCTGGCACGCTTCTGATCGTAATTCTAGGCAGGCTGCATAATCCTCAATCAAACAGCTTCCAGCATTGGATTTTAGCAGTAACTGTACAAGCCCAACCATGCGAGAACTGTGTCCCAAAATAATAATAATACAACATCATTTAAGCTTCCATCAGATGTTGTGTATTAGAAATTTATCATGAAAATATGATATTTATGCGATGTTTGAAAAAGGTTACATGCATAAAGCTTTGGGCCATATCAGATCCCATCGGAGCAGATCAAGATGACAAAGCAAAACACAGAATGGATGAAGGGACTTACCTTAATATACTCATGATTTTGATAGAGCACTGCTGAATTTGAGGTCGAAAATCATATCTGACATATTCCAGTAAGGCTACAATTTGATTATGATCTTGAGAGAGTATAACATCCAGTGGCTGCAGAGAAAAGGATTAGTAATTAGAACAAATCCTTGAAAAAGAATTTGGCATGTACTGCACCCATGAACAATGCTCAAAACAAGCTTTCTAGGTCATGTAACCATCTATTAGTAAAATTACATTCTATTATAACTGGGCATGGAAATGAATGTTGTGTATTGGCACAGAGAGGGCATCGATATCCCAGCTGCAAAAAGACGTGATGACAGGACAACATATATATGTGAATCTTTTATTTATATATTTGTCTACATTTGGGCGCATGTTTGCACTGCAAATAACCATATATATCAAAACTATGACGAAACACCTGCTTGTAAATTTCTTGATAAAAAATAGTAAATCTGTATAATGTTGTATTCTCGTAAGTTTATTTAAGCACACAAAGTTGTGTCCAATGTTGAGGAAACAAGTGTCCTAAAAATTATAGTTTCTACTGAAACATAGTTTCTGAGAAAGTATTAACTCATGACTGTAAAACAGAAATAATTTTCAGAATAATGCACAGATATCTTATATATCCATTCCAAAAAACAAGTGTGCCAAAGTGCATGTAAAAATAAGCTACGCATCCAGTACAATAAAATAATACCTGGTAAAGAGGACGCCAGAAATCAGAAAGAAGCAAATCCTTCTCCAAGACAAGGATTACAATTTCCAAAGAGAGTTGCACAGCCTTTTCTAAAAGTGGCCCATACACTTCATTTGTCCGTTCAGTTATGATGGTATTGACTCCAGGCAAAAGAATACCCATAATGTTCCGGAAAACAGTTTTGCCACTCATGAAATCCTGTAACAAATTTTTTGTTAAGAGAAAGAATGGGCACAATATTGTCTTTCTATGTTAGATCAAGCAATCACAACATCATCAGAAAATCCCTTCAAAACCAAGATGACAATAATAACAACAATTGTACTAATAAAAGTACATAAAACACAATGCAATCATTAGCTTTTAACATGCATATGCTTGATATGACATTAATTGAATAGAACAAATGAACAAAAGGAAGAATAAGCACAAACTTTTAGCAACTCTAATATGGGTAGCTGCATCTGGAGTGGAGATGGTTGTGTTACTGTTGAAAGCTGAGAACGGTCAGCGACAACGTCGATGTCCTCCTCATTGATGTCATACATACTCAATATCCTGCATTGTAAATCACACGAAGATCCAAATTTTTCGACATTCAAAATCCGATATTAAACCACAAAAAGTATAAAATTACACTATTATACCAAACAGATAGACCTGGTTCAGGTAATAAAAACTGAGAAAAGACAGTAAACAGAGGATCTGGTGGAAAGAAACCTTTAAGATGCAATAAAACCATAAAATAAAATAAAAAATACAAGCTTCTGACATGGACCGTAGGATTAACTTACATATGAAAATGCTGAAGACAAGCAACAACCAACTGCCATTTCTCACAAGGATTTGCATAGGCTCTTTGGGGGAACGGCCTGAAAACATGATCATAGATGAACCTAAAGATGCCAATGAATCTGCCAAACAGGACAAACCTCTCGTCAATAGGGTGAGCATTCCCGAAAAAGAAGTAAAAAATCCAAAGAAATATTAGACAAACCAGCAACCCACCTACGCCCTCTATCGCTTAGGTCTCTTTCTTCAGAAATAAGAGTATTTAACAGGTTAAGGAAAGATATTGTTGAAGGATATTGTTCTCTCCTTGCTTCGATTTCATTCAACTCAAATTGCATGTCATATACCTGTAAAAGACAGATAGTTTTCACATATAAAATACATATAGGACCGTTAAATTACCTTGTAACTAGTTACCATACCCAAAGAACTTCTGGAAGAATGTTGCCAAACCAACCTACACCCTCTAGTCTTACTGACAACAATAATAATACACACAAAGGAAATGACAACATATATATATATATATATATATCACATTTATTAACTGTCACACAATTAAGGCATACATATGCCAATTACTATTCACACCCCTTCAACATATGTTCAACATGCATGACCCATAAAAACATTAGTTGCAACATCCGCATCATAGCTACACTTCAAAAATTTATGGTAATAAATTGCTAAGAAACATATATGGAGAATTTTTTTCCTTATATCCCACAAGAGTTTGCACGAGTTTCCTGTTGGAGGACATAAATAACTTTTCTTATTCAGACAATAGAGGAATAGATGAGGTAAAATATAAATATCAAATCCTACGTGCCTTTTAGATGCCCAATCCTTGAAGTCCACTATACATTACCTATTTTGATAATTATATTCTACCAGGGACCAAAGTTGATTAAATAAGTATAAGCTTACTTCATGCATCTGACAAGTGTCTATATTGGGCAGTTTAAACTCAGATGTAAGACAAATAAATCCCAACTACCTTTAGACTACTCTAAAACTAAGGAAAGGTTTCATAGAGGAACGAGACAGGGTCAGGAAAATAATTAAAAAGAGGGCTTTGTTTTATTTATTTGACACCTAGCTACCACACACTACCACCCAAAACCAACCTGTGCTGACATGGGCTGTGCACTCTTCCCAGCATGAGATCCAACAACCACAGGTAGATCATACTGCTCAAGATAACTCCAAACTGTATCTTTTAGGACAGGGGAGACATGAAAAAAAGTTCTGATTGTATTACGCAAAGCACCCTGCAACAGTTAGCAACATACTTTATCAACAACAAAGAATTCAATTGAAGCTTCCAACAATCAATAAAGAAGCCACAAATGGTATACTAGGATAATCCTCAATGAAGCAGCATTAAAATACAGCCATCAACCTTCACATAAGGAGGCACATTTTCATAACCAAGGAGCTTGAATAGAGGCTCAATATCAGAAAACCAGTTCTTTCTTTCAAGGGGATTTCCATTTTCCACAACCTGCAGCACATTACAAAGAACCATAAAAAGAAGTTATTCCTTTCCACATAAAACCAGTAAGAAGACTTCAATGTACAATTGCATCTGCGTAGAGAGATAAAAGGCATCTAACCTAACAAAATATAGCAGGTTCGTGCCATGTGGGCTACAGGTAGTAATTAACTAAACATAACGAAACAACCAAGATTCATACAAGTCATAGAATTTTTCCGCTGCTGATACATTCTGACAAGGATTTTCTCCCTATCAGATATTTTAATCCATAAGCACAGAAAGCACTGCAGCTTTTGCACACACAGATGAAATCCTAGACATCTTTTGAGCATCTTTTGAGAATCAAGAACAAACTAAGAAGTCTAACATATCAAGAACAGAAATGTCAAATGTTAAATATTAGTGAACAAGTTGAAAAGAAATTGGAAATAAATTCCAACTAATCCACACACAGATATACCATATCATTCAATAAGCTATACAGAATATTAGCACAGATATACCATCTCCTTTCCTAAGCTCTAGAGCAAAGCAGGGTCTGAATTTTCCAGGAATCTACAAAATCATTTGAGTTCCCAGAAAAAAGTAAAGTTCACTCCAATACAAAGTGAATATATGAGAAACAGCAATGGAATATAAAATGAACAAACAACTTCACTTGGTATTTTCATTTTCATTTTTTCGTTGTAATAAGCAGTCTACTTAATATTATCAAAATTGTTGAAAGATTAAGTTGAGTAGGTAATTATATTATGAATGCCAAATACAAGTCAATGAGGTTATGGTAAACAAAAACTTGTCCGCAATTGAGAAACAAAACTATGTTATACCATCTGGTAAATAAGAACAAAAGAAATCAACTGAAAGGTGAATAAATTGAAAAATGAAGCACACTAAAACCTTTTGAAGAACATTCAAATAAGCAACAAGTGCTTTTGCATCCCCCTCTGGGAATTCCGGTAGCATACCACCCGCAGTTTGAAGGGATTGTTTAAATTTCTCATCATAAATTGATAAGCAGTCAAACAAAGTGCTCCACCCAACAGAGCGGAACACTTTACCCTGAAGTAACTCAAAAACCTTTGAAGCACCTTCTTCACTAGATGCCTGAAAGGAACATAAGAACATGAAAATTAGGAAATTGCACACTTGCAAAGCATGCCTCATATATCAAGATTCAAAACCAGCTGAAACATGTTCTTCATACCAAGGTACTCAGCATATTCAAGAAGGCCACAAGAGTCTGAAAATTTGTATGATCCTCTCCAGCAAAGTTCACAAATGTCCACAAGACATCATTGCCAGACAACAGCTCTGGTTCCTTCTGGGGAAAATAATGCATAAAGAAGGCAAATATGAGGTCCAACTCATATAGACGAAAGAAGACACATTACACTGGAAGGATGCAAGATAAACAATAGAACAAGAAGCATCGCTTCAAATGTATTTGAATAAAACCTGTAGAACATCTTAAGGAAATTAAGCAATTGTACTTGTATTACAGAATAAGACAAGCACATCAAATCACTGTCATTCAACATGAAGTCAACATGTTTGACTAACAATTAATTTAATGGCTTAAGCTGAGTAATAATTTTTTCCTTCATTAATGAAATTGCTGTTTCTTATTAAAAAATTTATTTCAAAAATAGATTTATCCAAGGACAAATGAAATCTCAATCACACTAACGTGAAAAGTTAAAAAGTGTTTTTGTTCAAATTAACCTGATAAATTTCGCTCACAAACTCCAAGAGAGAGACAAATGGTAACGGGCCGGTTTCAGAGACTTGTGGAGAAGTTAAGTTACTATCATGTGATCCACCCATGCGGTATGGACTAAGAATGCTCATAGCCCGCTCCTTCGATTCTTTTACCTGCAAGGAAACTTCACCAAGCTGTAAGAAAAAACTTGCAAGTGAGGGGTGAAACCTATATTATATAAATACATTACAAATATACATGGGGGTGGGGGGAGGGAGAGACAGACTTGTATTACATTTTGATGAGAGAGAAGGATGGAATAAATTTAAATTTCCAAAGTGCAAAATGTTTCGATCAGCAATAGCCAATAGCAGTTAGATAGGGAAGTAGTGAATTGGAATTCCTGTTCTGCACCAAAAATCCTTGCCGCACCAAGTGCATGAACAAAGTATCCATTATCCACATCTCATGCAGAAATATATGTCTCAATTATACAATCAAGAATCCTGAATCCCAATTTACTTAGAAGCAAAATCATCTAGTTCATTCTCATCTATCTCCGATTCCCAATGCATATACAAATTTTGATTATCCAAATCTCATCCGCAAGCTTGGTCAGTTGTAGAAATTTGACAACACTGAAGTTGCAGTCTAATTAAACTTAAGAATAAATGAGAGGCATACATATAGGCCAAGTTAGTCTTTCAACTACATTTTCTGCCAAGTCTATCACATTTTATACATCAAAATTAATTTTTTCCAATATATCGTTATATTCCAAGAACTAAAAAAAAATCAACTGACCTTGTCTCTGGCAAGTGGGTGAGACAAGAAACAAGTGATCAGCTTATGAAGGTAAGCATTGTACATATAAATCATATCCTCATCATCATTCTGCACAAATTACAGAAAGGATGCCCATAAGAAACAATATAGGAAAGTTTAATGACAAATTACTTTTGACAGCATCCAATAGAAGAAATCACAAACCAACCTGATAAGCGGCAGTTCGAAGAACTTTATCTAGTATAAATTGGAAAACATTGTTTGAAAAAATGGCTTCTAAGCATGACTGTAGGTAACCCAAATCACTCGATGAAGCACTTGATACAGTATCCCTTGCAGTAATAGCATCTTGTATTAACATCAAGTGTACAGCCCAAGCAAGCCTTGTGCTATCAACAAAACCCTGAACGTTTGGATCATTTCCAGCAGCCATTACCTGAAGCACAGAAGGAGCATCAATTTTCGAATCCCCATCAGAAATTTCATTAACACTGAGAAGAAAAATCAAGCAAGCATTTTGTCTTACAATTTCATGAAATTCATGTCTAAAAGAAGCATCATGGGACAGGACAGATGCTTTATCTGGCACTGCACTCAGAGCATCTGATATGAAAGCGATCACAAGAGAAAAAAGAAGACTAAATGTAATCTGCATAAACATAAATATATAAATAGCGTGACAAGGCAGCAACACAAAAGAAACAAGAAGCAAAACTAAATCACTCAACATGAAGAGAAGGACATGCCTGACGTTTCATGGTGTTGTTAGTCTCACTAAGTTCAGCAGCACAATCTTTTAAAATGAAAAGTATATCCTTCACATCCTTTGAACCTGCAATCAACATATCAAATAAAGATGTTAATATAGATTATCTTAAGGGATTCCAAGAGAATAGTAAAACGATGTTAATACAAATTATCTTAAGAGCACATGGAAGTCACTACAAAGTGTAATTCATTACCATTGGTTTTGTTCAAACAACAGAAAAAAAGTATCATCCATATGATTCCAACACAAGCTATACATAAACAATGAGCTTTAAAACTATCAAATAAATCACATATGTTGTGTCAATATAAATGCATCAATATTGCCATTGTTTTTTAACCAAGGCACTGCAACATGCACGCTGAAAATATCAAACTCTACCAATTTAGGTACCAACACCCATGACAAGGGAACATGTCGTGTCGCCAACTCTGCCAACCTTGTCAAATGCAATGCTAGTGGGGCATGTACTGAGTGCTTCCAAATTGTAAGATCTTAAATCACAAGCACTTTGGTACCAGACGTTTTGTCTATACTCTATTCACAATAGTCACAACACCCAAATTTGTAAAATGCTAGGCTTCAAGATTTCTTTCCTGAAGAATCCACTTTTTACCCACCAAAAAGACGCAAATTGACCATTTTGTCAGTAAATGTTTATTTATTTAAGCAATGCACATCAAAAGTGACAACATTTACTGAAGCAATGCACATCAAAAGTGACAACAATAATTCCCCTCCCAAAAGCTAAAATCATGAATGACAAACCAGAATGAATCTCATACACAACTAAGAACAAATCAACTAGCTCAACTATAATGTTTAGAAACGCAGTGGAAATCAAATTTACAAAATGTCCAAAGAAATTCACAATAAATAAATCTTTAATAATGATCAACTTCTTTGCATGCAAAATCTAACACTACACTGTAAATATTCAGTATGCACAAAAACAACACCATAGTAATAAACCCATAAAATGTGCTGCTTACACGTTCGCACAACCAGAATAGAAAGGACAAGGCAATGTCCAAGTATGAGCCTCTCCCTAGAAACCACAGCACGCCGCCCCACAAGAGCACCTCTAGAATCTAGAACATAGTGCTCAGAGTGAGGCCCACCAAGGCCAGCCGGTTCTTCTCGATTGAGTTCCTAAAATCAAACCCACCACAATTATGTTCAAAACTATATTGAGAAATGACAACACTGAAATTGCCCACACTAAAAAAAGGTGATCACTGTGGCATTCAAGGAAAATAGTCCTTTAATTAAAAAAAAAGAATATATTTCTAACACATGCTATAATAAGTTGTCTTCTAACAATAAACCCAGCAATACTTAAACATGTGAAGCAATCTGTAGATTAAAAATCCTCTTGGTTGGAAAATTCCATAGTGAAACAATGAACAACTCATAACAAGAGAGATCAGTGTCAGCAGATGTAGTAAACTTTCTTTTTACATGCAAAATCCTAATGTAAATACTACACTTGAAATATGCACAATATGAAAGAAACTTGGTCAATGTTCCAAACCTTTATAAGAGATATTAACCTATGCCTTAGCCCATTATTGATAAGATTTTCCAAGGATTTCTGAATGTCAGACACAAGATCAGCTTCAAGTCCCTGGTCAAGCACAATGGCCTGCAATCGTATGAAAATCCATTAAAAATTAAAGGGCCAAAGTAATAATTAAAAGGTTTTAGGATGATGACTAGGTGTAGGAGAGTGAATACCCTTAATAGTGTATAGAGGGCTGTTAATAGATCTCTTCTCTCTGTGTACCAGAGACCTGCTGCAAGGCGCAAAACTTCTACTGGCTCTCTTCCCATTAAGCCCCACTAGAAATGAGCAGAAAATTAAAACAGAAAATCATGTAATATTGCCAACTTGTAATTTATAGGCCAATGGGATATTATTAGAAACAAAAGATATCATAAATCTACCTCTTGATTAGCAGCGATAAGCAAACGGACACAATCTATCTCATTGAGGTGGAGGTCGTCGCTCAACTTCAAAGCCTATAATCCAACATAACATCAAACCACCCCAAAAAAAATGGAGATAACATACAGAATATAACTCAAACGCTATATACTATCCAGCAAATTTAAATGAAATTGCAAATTATTTAAAAAAGAAGTCCAGACTTTAATTACTTGAAAAGGTATTAAGAGAAAATGCAATATCATATGTCTTACTGAGGCAGAAAACTGAAAAATGCTGCACCAGCTTGACATTTTGTCTGAAGACAAATGGTTTCTCTGAATCATGTGTTATAACATGAAGATTGAACTAGGAATAAAATCCATCAAATAGTAAGGATATGACCCAAACATGAAAATTTGGTTGTAAGCATGATTAAATCACGTATGAAGCATGGCATAATTCCCTTACAACAATTCTATGGCCAAGCATATACTTTATGCATTTTGAAAAGAGAAAATTTGGTTCATATATCCCACAAAATAATAACAAGTAGTAACTAAATTCTTGAAAAAAGGACAGTTCAAAAATTACCATTATAATTAAATTTGAACCCCTTAACACTATTTGAAATTCAACTTTATGGGATCTAGTGGTTATTCTACTACGCCCTTAGCAGAAGGCACAGGAATGAACACTTCCAAACAACAAGGAACGAGTGGTATACATACAATCTGGACGTCCTGGTCATCAAGCGAAATTGGCGGCCCATCCGGAAGCCTAACTTCTCTCGACTGAACTTGCGCCCGATCTGAGGGTTTCGGAGGCTACAAAACGTAATGAACAAAATTCAGCAATAAGAGTAAAATCCCTAAAACCATTAAGATAACGGTACCGAGAAACGAAGTAAACTCCACGCATAATTTCCAATTCAAAACTCTCCTATTACGAAATTTTAAAAATCTCTACGCTTCCATGTTCTTTTCTTGTCCTTCATTGTGCTCGGAGACCAAACGATATAGAACTAATGGGACCATACCGGATAGGAAAGGAGGGACTGGAAGGAGGAGAGAGAGTTGCGAATGGCGTGCATGAGCTCCACTCTTTGAGACGGGCTCGGAGGCGACGGGCCCAGTAGGGCCGATTCGACAGTAGAGAGCAGCTGCTTCGGTAACACCATTGTGGATTGTGGATTGTAGATTGGTACTGCGACTGGTGCAAATGTTGAAACCCTAGGATAGAGAAATTAAAAGGCGGGAAATGGAATGCGAGGGTCTGCAATTTTGCTATGGGGGCAGAGAAAGGAAAGAAGAGGGTTTTGGGGTTTTGGTAAACCGTATAAGCCCTAATGGCGGTGACACAGCGACCCTGGCTATTTGAATATGTATCCTTTTGTCCTAGTTTCAAAGTTTTTTTTATTGCTACAAATTTGAACATTATTAGGACAATGGATTTGTGAAAAAATAATTTATTAATTATTCCGTATAGCCGAGCGGCTATACTGTTTATTTTAAACCCCCCCGTACGGCTGTACTATTTCTGTTTTTAAAAATTGGAAAAACCCTAGTATGGCCGGCCGGCTATACTATTTCTCTTTTTTGAAAAACGAAAACCGAGTTATTTCTTTCAAAACAATTTAAAACCAAGTAAAGCCGAGCGGCGGTACTATTTCTTTAAAACATTGGGAGACGCAGTATAGCCGAACGGCGATACTATTGCTGGTTTAAAAAAAACCAAAAAACCCATTACAGCCGGTCGGCTATACTATTTCTCTTTTTGAAAAACAAAAAATCGAGTATAGCCGGCTATACTATTTCTTTCAAAACAATTACAAACCGAGTAAAGCTTGGGAAAACACAGTATCGCCGCACGGCTATACAATTTCTTTTTTCAAAAAAATTCTAAAATCCGCCTACATTTTCCTCTCCGTCTCCTTCATCCAAATGCTCAAAGCCCTGTTGCTCGTTGTGGTTTATTCAATTGGCGTTGTGTTCAAGAAGGACCCTTTCAAAAGTGACACTAGGCTCAACATGGTTTCGATCTCTGTTGGTGTCACCATCGCCACTTATGGAGAAGCCAAATTCAATAGTTGGGGAGTGGCGTTGCAGCTTTTAGCTGTGGCTTTTGAGGCCATGAGGTTGGTTCTTATTCAGATTCTGCTTAATGCTAAGGGTATTAGTTTGACCATGTTGCGCGATGTTGCTTTGTGTTCTTGTGCGTACCCTGGGTTATTGTTGAGTTGCCAGTGTTGAGGCGGACCTCCAGTTTTCATTTCGTTTTCGTCATTTTCAGGACGAATTCGGTGTTTGCATTTAAAAAATATAAAAACCCCAGTGCAACTTTTCCGAGTATTCCAGGTATAGCCGCGCGGCTATATGATTTCTTTTTTAAAAAATTAGGAAAAACCCGAGTCTAGCCGAGCGGCGATACTATTTCTTAGTATTCTATTTTTAAAAAAAAATTGGAAACCCGAGTATAGCCGCGCGGCTAAATGATTTCTTTTAAAAAAAGTTGGCAAACCCCAGGTATAGCCGACCGGCTATACTATTTCTTTTTAAAAAATTGGAAAACCCGAGTATAGCCGCGCGGCTATACGATTTCTTTTGTTAAAAACTGGGACACCCGAGTATTCCAGGTATAGCCGATCGGCTAGACTATTTCTTTTTAAATAGATTGGAAAACACGAGTATAGCCGCTCGGCTAGACGGTTTCTTTTTTAAAAAATAACAAACACAGTACAGCCGGGCGGCTATACGATTCTTCTTTTTGAAAAATAAAAACCCCATATAGCCGTCTGGCTATACTTTTTCTTTTTAAAAAAAATTGGAAAAAACCGAGGATAGTCACCTGCTATACTATTTCTTTTAAAATAACTGAAAAAACTGAGAAATGGCAATCGGCTATACTATTTCTTTAAAAAAATACAAATTTATAAATAAACCCAATTCTAGACATGTATTTATAAAAAAAACCCAAACACTATTTAAATATAGAAACACACCCAAAATCAACAATTGTATATTTTTTGGGTGTATTTATAAATGGGTTTTGAGTGTGTGTAATGATGAGTTTTTGGTGTGTTTATAAAGTGTTTTGAGTGTTGGGTTTTTTTATAATTTCAGCCCCAATTTTGGGTGTTTTAGTGAAACTCCCTTAAAAAAATTGGAAAAAAACACAGTATAGCCGATCGGCTATACTATTTCTTTTTTAGACAAGTTAATTTGAACTAACGATGTCCGTTAGATGGTGGGTTTCAGGTTTGGTGAAAAAAAAATATATATATTTGGGGCAACAAAGCTCGACCGAAGGCATCTTCTTTGTGTTTTAATCGGCTGGCCAAGTCTCTCTCTTTCAAGATTTTAACTTGTACGTTGGTTTGGCCTGTTCTCATCAAAGAATCAACCATTCTTGTGGATTTTTATGAGCATGTTATTCCATCTTTTAATTTTTAAATGCAGACAAGCTAGACTAATTTTGGTGAGTCACTAGCTCCGCATGGACCAGTACGTACGTGCATAGGATAAATAATCAACCAATGGTTTTTCTTTAATAATTTTCCTTTCTAATTCATTTTCTGCATTGAAAATGCTACCAGGTACAGGAAAAAAAAAGGGAGTTTCACTAAAACACCCAAAATGGAGGTTGAAATTATAAAAAAACCCAACACCCAAAACACTTTATAAACACACCCAAAACCCATCATTATACACACTCAAAACCCATTTATAAACACACCCAAAAAGTTGACTTTGGGGTTAATTTTGGGTGTGTTTCTATGTTTAAATAGTGTTTGGGTTTTTTTATAAATACATGTCTAGGATTGGGTTTATTTATAAATTTGTAAAAAAAAAATTACTCGTCGTTCTGTTCAATGCTCTGTCTTTGTTACATCCAATTCTTTATTGAAGCTCTGTCTTTTTAATTTTGGTCTGAGAAGGTCAAATGGTGATTATATCAGCATGAACAACAAACTGTCCGGCTTTTTAATTTTTCTAATGAGCCTGTTAGAAACATCCAGTGAGATTATCCTTGCTACTGCAATCTCTGTAGTGTATATATACATGTTATCCACTGAGCTTTTCACAAAGAGGCAAGGCAAGTGAAGATGGAGGTAGCCAATAGGTACATAACAATAAAGACCCATATAGACGGTGAACCCAAGGAGTCAGACTTTGAGCTCAGGACTTTAGCCCTTGATATATCAGTTGACCCCGGTTCCAATGATATTATTGTGAAGAATCTGTATGTGTCAATTGACCCCTACCAGCTAAACCGCATGAAAAGTTTCAGCTCTTCACAGAAAGCTATAGGCTTTGCAGCTGCCATCACTCCAGGAGAAGTAAGCTGTCATACAATTCATTGAAGCATATGTTTCTGAGTTGAGAGTTTTGTTTGTTACAGAATCTGAAATGGCTGTTTTTTTTATTATAAATATCTTTTCATTTGTTTTATGATGACAGACTATTGATGCTTATGGTGTGGCAAAAGTTGTGGCTTCTGGGAATCCTGAATTTGAGAAGGATGACTTGGTTGTGGGGCTCATCACTTGGGGAGAGTATAGTGTACTAAAAGAAGGAAGCATGTTTAGGAAATTGGATCCTTTGGGATTTCCACTGTCTTACCAAGTTGGAATTCTAGGTAATTAATTACCAATTTACCACTTAACATCTGCATCTTCATCTTCAATTTTGCATTGTTGTTTTGCAATTCTTGTATAATGGATATGGTTTTGAATCTTGAGACAAACAACTTCAACAGCAAATGCGCAGAACAGTAGGGATGATATGTACATTAATTTGGCCATTAGTAAATTGTTAGATGAGAAATTAGAACAGTTAGTCATCTTTGTGTCTGATCAGTGGCAGCTGAGAAACCTTAAGTTTCTGCCAATCTCTCAACTATGGCAGTGGAGTGCTATGCAGAGGATTTGTTTTTCATAACAATGCATTAATTTGCTTATTTGCTCTTGCAGGTTTCAGTGGACTTACAGCATATGGTGGATTTTTTGAAGTATGCAAGCCCAAGAAGGGGGAGAAAGTTTTCGTGTCTGCAGCTTCTGGATCGGTTGGGAATTTGGTCGGACAGTATGCAAAACTGTTTGGTTGCTACGTTGTTGGCTGTGCAGGAACCAATGAAAAGGTGACCTTACAAAACTTTTCAGTCATTATACTATTGTGTGAATGAAAATTGGTCTGAATGTTGTATCATTATAAAGGTTGAGTTCTTAAGTTCAACTTGCTATAGGTAGCACTGCTCAAGGAAAAGCTCGGATTTGATGACGCATTCAACTACAAGGAAGAGTCTGATTTAAAGCCAACCCTCAAAAAGTAAATCCTCCCTTATATACTCAAGGCCGGTGGCTTTGAAGCTAAATAATATATGCCTAAAATAAATTGATTCAGCTGTGTGTTCTAATGTTTTGATCTACAGGTACTTCCCTAATGGGATTGACATATACTTCGACAATGTGGGGGCTGAGATGCTAGAAGCAGCAGTTTCTAACATGAACACTTTTGGTAGAGTTGCCGTTTGTGGCGTAATCTCTGAGTATACAGATGCTGGAAAGAGAGCTGCACCAGATATGCTAGATGTTATATACAAGAGACTCAAGATCCAGGGGTTTTTAGCAGCTGATCAAATGATTGTCTATTCGGATTTTCTTTCCACCACCACAGATCATCTTCGTACTGGAAAATTGCATGCCATTGAAGACATCTCACATGGTCTGGAGAGTGTTCCATCAGCTTTCATTGGACTTTTCCGTGGCCATAACACGGGAAAGAAAATTGTTAAGATTGCAGATGAGTGAACGAAAGAAATCTCATTTTGCTTTGATTCATAAATTGGAAAATGAGCATTTGCTCTAATCATAATCGTTTGCTTCTACCAGCACTAATTTTATCTGCAGTAGTTTCACAAATCCACCAAAGGTCCATATTTTTTGAGTCACATTTGGCTTCAATTTGATGTTATATAAAAAACCATAACCAACTTAGCAGACAAGGCTAGGTTAGGTCCAGGAAAGGTCCGTTTGGGTTGACTTGGCTGCAACTGATAAGTGCTTTGACTTTATAAAGTCGTTAAATCAGACGGCTTTAATAATTTTGATCAAGCTATCTCATTCCTCCTCTTGGGGCAGAAACCCCGCCCATTCAGATGATTCAGAAAACCGTTAAAAGCAACGACCTTGTTTCCCTCTCACAAAAATGCAAAACCCTAAACCAACTCAAGCAAATCTACGCCCACCTCCTCACATGTCGTCTACCAGAAAACCCCTACGCAATTGCACCGCTCCTCTCGGCCTCCGCAACCTCGAAAGATGCTTCCTTGTTTTGCTACGCTTGCTCAATCTTCA